TTCGCAGCCACCCTTTTCATTCCCAAATCTTCTGTCAAAATTCGCTGAACTGAGCTCCAAGTCACTCCCGACAGCTCCACAATTTCTTCAGTGGTCCGTCGTCGATCTTCCTTGATGATTTCACTAATTTTTTCAACATTTTCATATGTTCGGGCCGTGGAAGGACGACCAGAACGAGGTTTGTCATCAATTGACATTTCACCATTTTTGAAACGGGGAAAACCACTCAAAGACTTGAGTCTTCCCCATAGCATCGTCCTTGTATGCCGTTTTTAAAATTTCAAGAGTTTCTGTTCCGCTTTTCCCGAGCAAAAAGCAGAATTTCACCGCCGCACGCTGTTCACGAAAATCAGCCATTGCAAAAATGACAATCACACAAAACAGTTGTCACTATAAACTCTTCCAAAACTAGTCCTTACCTTCTGAAGCAACGGTAGTTGGCCTATCGACTCAGGAATGTTAGCTCTATGCACTCATAGCGGCAAAACGCGGTACTACAAAAGCTCTGCCTACAAAAAAATTAGTTCGGTTTCTTTTGGGTACCCCATCGTGTATATATATATATCAGGAGCAGAATTATTAGATTTCTGTTATTCATGAAGTGCTTGGCTGCTTTTTATGTAGTTCTACATTTTTTATACAAGTAGCTGTGACTCTGCCTTTGGTGTACAGTATTTGATGATATCCATCGTATCTGAACCCATATTATTTGCTCACACTCGGTCAAAGCGAATGCTGCTTTAAGCAGAAGTATTTTTATATTTATATTATCTGGTATAGCATGAGTGCCAGATGTCATGTAGTGTATGGATGCTGAGTAATTGTGGTCACTGTTAACTGATTTTATGCAAAGTATACAGCATAATACCAACATTGAAAATGTATGTATAAGTGGTATTTGTTCTAAGAGTTTTGTTTTTTAAAGTGTTTGCAGTTATTGCACCTGTTAAGTAGAAGTTTATTAAATCACTTCACTTAGCCATGGGAGGCCACAGGAAGCGACTTTCTATATGTTACTTGAATGTGAGAAGAAATCCAGAAAATTGGTACAGGCAAATAGAGTTTTATGTCAAGTTCAGACAGTAAAGAACATTGTGGTATCAAAACAAGTCAGAAATGAAATTAGGTTGCTTTTTTTCAGTGGTGAACATAAAGATTGAATTGTATGAGCAAAATTTTTAATTAGGCTACAAACTTCATAACAACAGTTGACCATGTGAGGAAAGGGAACCTAGTTTGACAAACTTTTTTGTAAATATGAGTAATTCCAGGCCCTCTCGTTGTTGAGCATCTGCATTAGCCTTTTTTTGCATGGCCATTCCAATGTGAGTGGGTTGTCAGTCAAATTTAGATTTGGTGATAGAAGTTTTATCATCTGGCAGTATGGAATTTTAAATCCTCCAGTTTTCAGGGATGATCACCATATTTTAACTGAAAGAATGCAGTACTTAGCCAGCTGGACCATACATGCATCATTGCAATAATGCAAAGTATGATGGGTGACGTCGAAGCTATAAATCCTCCTTGCCAACTATCATATTTGCCATCACATGTTCATCAGAATCTGACCCATTGGGCACTCCCCTTTTGTCAGGCAGGTATAGAGACCAGAAGAAACATCATTACTGGCCATACAAAAGTGATGTTTTGTAGAAATGATTATTGCAGGATAATCTTGAACTCTCATCAGATATAACCCAAAGTCTATTGATTTCCAGTCCTGATTATTTAGTGTTATGTAACAGGTAATTAGGAATGATGCATTTTGCAGATTGCAAGTTAACATGTCATAAAAAGTGCTACTCAAAGGTCACAGTTACATGTGGGAAAGATGGAATGGGAGGTTCTAACCAGGAAGGATCACGTGTGTTTGGTGTTCCTCTACACCAGTTGGCTGTTGGTGATGGCAAGGTGCCGATTGTTGTGGACAGGCTCATTACTACAATAGAAATGTATGGCCTCTACACCGAGGGAATTTACAGAAAGTCAGGAGTAAGCATCGACAACAGTGTTATCTGTAACTTTGTTACTAAATAAGTGATAGGCAGTTCACTAACTGGTTTGGTGTTCAACCAAATGAATTTGGTTGTTTGCACTCAAGATCATAAGAACTACATTCCACTTGCTTGTTTTCAGTTGTAACGAAACCAGTATAATCAACAAAATAAGCATGAAATTTCTGCCTCCTTTTTTTAAACACATATTATTAAGTTACAGTCAAGAGCCTGGCCACATAGTTGAACAGAAGTTTTATAGATGGGATACAGCTTGTATATATTAAATTAATTCGCTTAGTGGGGGGTTGGAGTCCAACTGATTCCACTCAGCATGGCGGCCACTGATTGGCCTATTGTAGCCTGCCCCAGGTGATTATGATGATGGAGAATTTGGTGGAATGAAGATTGGCAAGGGAAACCGAAGTACTCGGAGAAAACCAGTCCCAGCGCCACTTTGTCCACCACAGATCCCACTTGACCAGACCCAGGATTGAACCTGGGCTGCTGCAGTGGGAAGCCAGCGACTAACCGCTTGAGCTATGGCGTGGCCTAGCTTGTATATATAGTTACTTATTGGCATTCTCTTATCGCCACATATTAATGTTAAAAGGATTTTAACATTGGAAAATTTTCACTTTAGCATGTTTGGATGTTAAAGTGGGACTCTGCTGCACAGCTGTGGAAGGTTTGAAATGTTTAAAATAAGTCAGTTATCTTGGGAGCATCATTTTACCTATGCAAACACTGTATGATGACGATGAAAGTAAGGTGAAATTTGACCCATTTCCAAGCAGCATGCCATGTTGAAAATGAATTATGCTTATTTAAAAAGGATTTATATAACAGATTTGGTCTATATGCTTACATGTTTGTTACATAAGTATTTAATTTTTCTAGGTAAGCTCCAAAGTAAAGGAACTGAAATCTCGAATGGAAGAAGGGAGTATAGAAGGGGTAAATTTTCAGAACTATCAGGTTCATGTACTGGCTGCCGTCCTGAAGAGCTTCTTTCGTGAGATGCCTGAACCTCTTCTAACATTTGACAGTTACGAAGACTTCCTCAGAGCAGCAAATCTCACAGATCCTCAAGATAGGGTCTCTACACTGTTTACTATTCTCAAAAAACTTCCCAAACCTAATTTTGATCTTATGGAGAGGCTGATCTTTCATCTAGCCAGGTTGGTAGTGGTTCCTTTGTGCAGTTACAACATTGCTGTTTATTAGCGTGTATGCTTCTGCTTCAGTACTTTACCTAAACTTTCACCATTTGGAATTCACATTGTAACTTAATCATGCATTGTTTAGCAGCTGCATGCTCAGGTGTGTGTTGACATTAGTTGGAAGTAACATTTTATCACCTTTAAAAGTAGAAATGTATGTGATAATGTTTGTGGTTCAGAGAGAAAGAAGTTCTTGTAGACTGGAGAATTCAGTCTGTACTCTGTGCTCAGATTGGAAGAATTTATTACTCCTTCCTGTAACTTCTCACCTTGCAAGTTCATTGTACAGATGAAATATTTGATATTACCATCTGTTGTGATAAGTGCTTTGCCACTCTCATCAGCTTGAATGAATTAAGGTTTGTTATAGATATGTTGATTATAATTATTTCCATCAAAAATTGCAATTAACAGTTGGTAGTTTTAAAGAATTTAAACAAGCGGAATAAGCATTACTATGCAGCTGTACTACGATAGTGCTGTTGAAATATTTTGGTGGGAAAGTACTACATTAATGCTTATACATAGCTGGTAAAGTGATAAGCACAGCACTTTGATTGTTGGCTATGGGTTAATTTGATTTCCATGAACTTAATGCTTAAGTAACTCTGTGTACTTTATGTCACTCATGTGAGGATGCTTAGAATGCTTTATTTTTCTAAGAGGTATGGATTCCACATTGTGAAATGTTTTGACTCACTGAATTCACTTGAATCTAAGATATGCTAAAATTATAAGCTTGATATTGGAAAAAGAAGATACATGGAATAACATGGAATTATTCAGCAATAATTGTCATTATCATGAATTGTTCTTCATAACTAACTAGTCCGCTTTGTGATACAGTATTTATAGGACTGATGTCTTTCCGCGTATTTTACGTTTCATTGCACATAAAATCAGACAGGACACAAACATTTATTAGTATAATTTGTTTTCCATCTTTCTAATAATCTGAATTCTCCTAAAATTAAAATTATGTGACATTGTAATTAAATGGTCATAGGGTCCTTCAGCATCCTGTTGCATTGATATTAACCTTCAGTGCATAAGTGTTTTCACACTCCAATTTAGTCATGTGCGGAACTTATTGAGTAACATGTTCTACACATGACTAAATTGAAGTGACAGTGCAACAATTTTAGTAAAGGGTAACTACACTTGACGATAGCCATGTGAAGCCGAAACATGTTGTAGAAGAGTGTGCATGGGATAGAAGGCAAGAATAAAAATGTTGCATTTGGATGGTGGAAACACTTATCCATTGAAGGTCACAGAATAATTTAGTTGATTTGTCGACAGATAAATACACCAAGGTACAAGGGATATTCAGAAAGTAATCTCCATTTATTTTAAGCAACTAATGTAGGGGTGGGGGAGAGCTCGCATATGCAAGGTAGCATCACAAAACTTACTGCCTTGTGAACGATCACATAACTGGTCACCTAGTGTTTGTTCTTGTCGTACAGAGTGAGTTATGATTTGTCCTGTGATTTATAATCCTTCCAGCTACAAAATTCATACTGTTATCTGCTTTCTTCATGCTAAAAACATGAGTTCTGTGGAATTCGTCATGCATTATGTCCGGTTTATGGCCAAAATGTAATGAGTGAAGGAACTGGAAGATAATGGTGTAGAATATTCAAAGATGGGTGGACACATGTTGGTGATGAAGAGTGAGGAGGTCGGCTCTCTGTAGTGAGTGATGATCTTGTTCAAAGTGTTGACCAAAAAATTTGTGAAAGATGATGCTTCACAATTTCAGAGCTTTCTTGTGAAATTTCACAAATTTCACACACTGTTCTCTATAAGATTATTACAGTTAGTCGAAGTTGTCACAAATTCTGTGTAAGAGAGGTTCTGAAAATGCACACAGGTGCACACATAACACAGAGAATGGCTTTAGCTTTGACTTTTTTAGAGCGATATGACAAAGCTGGCAGTGAATTTTTCAGTTACCTTATACAAGTAACAGGTAATGAAACGAGGATTTCATTTTAGAATGCTGAAACCAAAGAGCAGTCAAAACAGTGGATTCACACACATTCACCAGGCAACCCCCTAAAGTTTAAACAAACATCTGCTGGAAAGCAGATGGCACCTGTATTCTGTGACAAAAGGGGAGTGCTTATGGTGCAATTCATGCAACAAGGGACCACAATAACATCACAAGCATGTTGCAGAATATTAAATATTCTGCATAGGGCCATTCAGAACAAAAAGCTTGGAATGCTGACATCCAGTATAGTGCTTCTCCATGACTGTGCGTTCCCATACAGCTGCTTGCACTTGAACACTGCTGAAGCATTTCAACTAGGAGTTGTTTGAGCACCCTCCTTACAGCCCTGATCACACTCTGAGTGACTACCACATTTTTACCTACCTGAGGAACTGGTTGCGACCACAGCACTTCAACAATAATGAGAAGTTGATGGAAGGTGACAAAACATGGATGGCCTTACAAGCAGCAGACTTTTTTGACACAGGCATACAAAAACTTATTCCCCAATGTGACAAGTGCCTCAGTTCCAGCAGTGAATACGTTGATAAGTAACTTACGTATGTACATATTTTTTTGTATATATTAAATTTTTTTTCTCATTGCATGTTTTGTTAACAGCTCACCAGAGGTTACTTTCCGAATGGCCCTCATGTTATCAGCCTTAATCTATACTTCATGTAATCATGGAGTGTCACACTTAGAACGTAAACCTGTGCTACTGTATTTTATGACCTAAATATGTTGATTGCTTAGTACTGCAGAAATAAAATATTGCCTCTCAATGAAACATCTGTATTTTAAAAATTTAAGATGTCATATTCTTGAATGGTAAGTTATGGGAGGGAACTTTGTTTCATGATTTGGATACATTTAAAATTGGTGTGTGTAAGAAGTTTATATAGCTGATGTAGACATTTGTTTTTTTGATGTGAATTCTGTAAGTAATTTTGAGCTTCTCACAGCTAGAACTTGTTATAGTGCACTATAAAATCTTTGTGACTGCTGTATTTCTGAGCATTATACAATAGATAGCACAGGTGTTGAAAGTTACACAATGCTGTAATGTTGGAATGTATGCTGATGTACTGTTCCATCACTAATTTAGGGTGGCGTTACATGAGGAAGCTAATCGCATGAATGCAAGCGCACTGGCCATTGTGTTTGCACCATGCATTTTGAGGACCAACAAGATTGTACCAGCCCAGGATTCTTTGCATGACATTGGCCGACAAACACAGTGCATTGAAACCATTGTGGCAGAACAGCTTCGTAAGGTTCGATCCACTCTCGCTGATATTGACACACTGGACACAGCATGTCACACTGCTACTCACAGGCTCTCTTCATTACGTAGCTCCAAGGTATAGTGTTTAATACTGTGCATGTCAGAAATGGGCTTAGAAAATTTTGTTATTGGATTTATCATATTCCACTGAATCACCTTTTTTTGTTCAAAGGTTGGGAACTTGATGTGGTAAATTATTTTTTTATTCCCATTCCATGTGCTGTCAGGCTTGTTTTGAGAAGGCTGAATATAAATTGTTTAATATAATAGTGTGAAACGATGGTTTCATAAAATATTATTTTCAGAATTAAATTTATAACTGCCCAGTAGTGTCTTCTTTCTACAGCTTCATTGGCAGATAACTTACTTATAAATTATACTCCCTGTACATCATTGCTAGCTGTAATTTTATTAGATTCTAAAGGGACTGGATTGAGGTTGGTTCTTTCTAACGGACCCAACAGAGTAGGTGCCCCCCCCCCACCTGAGAAAGGGAACAGATCCAGTTTCACAGAATGTTGTGTTTTCTAGTTCCTAGAATACTGGATGAGGGACAAAGTCCAAAAACCCAGTAATTTTTTTAATTTTATTGTTTATAGTTCTGTAAATTAATATCTGTATACTCATAAATTATTGAAATTAATTTATTTTCATCTGAAATTGCTGTTGTATCCCTAAACTTCTGTCATTTCCTTGAAGTCAAAGTGTCTTGTCAGTTGTTGCTGTTGTGTGTGAAACCTTACATACAGGGTGTCCCAGGAGGAATGGACCAAACTTTGGGAGGGTGTTCCTTATGTTAAAGTATGCCGATATAACCCAAAACACCTATGTCCAAAGTTGAACGGTTACGGAGATAATGGCCAGAGAAGTGTCAAACTTTGACCGGCGTTGCACACTTGTTGATTACAAAATACATATTAAAACTGGCAGGAATATGTGGATTCTGTAATGTTAATAATGTACGTAACATNCCCTGTATAGTGGAATTCACAGGACTTGGGCAGCCCCACCTCCCAAATGTTTGTTAGTTGGTGGAATTAGTGATTGACAGGGGAATTAAAGAAGTTCTTAGAAGAGAGAAGAGACTGAGCCTATGTATAGGTGTGGTGTCTCACCACAATTTTCTCTTTCAGTAGTACAGAGTGTTGTAATACAGAGGTTTTGCTGTGTACGTTTTACTTGTTTGCGTATTGAAAATACCATATAATATGGAAAGCAATGTGTTTGTTAAGAAGTGCTTAATTTCATTTTATATCCATCATCCCTTTGGTACTTTAACCTTGAAGCCAGGATGTTTGTATATTTAACAAGTATTTCTTCTGTGACTCATGCAGCATATTTCATATATGGTTCTCTTAGAAATGTAAGTATGATACACTAATGGAAAGATTTCAGATTGGTAGAGTAATATACATTTTGGTGATAAAGCATCTGGAGATTAAAAGCCATTGTGATAGACTGTAGAGTGATGTAATAAATGTGGGAATATCTCTGTATGCTGAAGATCTTTGTGTGAGGAAAGAAATGAAGGGCCTCATTGATGTGGTACAGAACATTACCGAACTCATGCTAGAAACTTCTGGAAGTTTTACTGTATCTGTAATGATGACTGCTGAGCTGACTGTGCTATGATTTCATAGCCATGAGAGACTTCATTTTCTGTATTCAGATATTTAGCCCAGAGGAGCTTCTGCCTGCTGACATCTCGAACAGTGATCCAAAGCCGACGTTATTGAATCCAGATGATGAAGAGGCACTATTAATGGGTCACATTCAGGAGATTCAGAAAGAGAAAGCTCTCTTGACATCAGCGTTGCCAAGTCTCACAAGGACGACTTCCGATGATGACCTTTTGTCAACTGATATGGATGATGGAAGTTTAGATGACGTGATAGGTCGACTGGAGGAAGGGGAGCATGAACGTAAGTTTACACATCCAATTTAACCATGGTGGAGGCCTACTATTCCCCCTAGTCGTGAAATATTGACTCTTGTCAGGTGTGGTTACAAGATGGCAGGTCTTATTGGAATAATTGCTTTTGCTGTGGCAATTGATACTCATGTATTGCATGTATTTGGTATGATTACTTCATCATGTGGCAGGACACCATGGTCGCAGGGTTCGGGGAACACCAGTGCCAAAATCGCTAGTGTCTCGCTCTATGTCTGGTGGAGATGGTGAAGCTAGTGGTGAAGATGTTAGTAGCAAGTTGTTGCAGCATTCCAGTGGCCCAGTTCGGCTCAAAAGGCAGTCCTCGTCTGACAACAGTATAGTGTCTCTGTATCCACCAGTTGAAGTGGACTGTGATGAAGACCCAATCATGGTCTGAAAGCTTCCTTCATTTTTTCATCCAGTAGTCCCAGCCCCTCTTCCAAAATTTTGATAGATATGCCAGGGCCACAATAGGTAAACTAACCTTCAGTAACTTATTTTTATTATTTAAGTCTTTGCCACTTTGTTGGTAGAAACAACATAGTCACTCTTGGTGGGAATTACATGGCTGTCATTGTTAAGGGCAGTTACTGAGTTCAAGTTGGTTGTACATGTGGATTCCATATAGTGTCTTTGTTTCTGTGTTCGATGGGTTTTTGAGTGATGAGATAGTGTGTTCTAGTGCTTTAGACTTGTTTAACGACTTCACGTGATTAAGATGGCTTTCCACAAATACATAACCTGTTCACACTAGTCAACATACACATATATGGTAGGGATAACTGGATGAGTCTTAAGAGATCATGTGGTATTTTTGTGGTGTCTGTAAAGAAGATAATTACAAGATGTAGTTACATGGTAGTTCATGGCATGGTGATCGATTGCTAATTGGGTGTCCTTACTGTACATGTTGTTTTAAAATAGATTTGCTACTAGTGTTACAGCCTATAAACCATCATTCTGCTAGACAAAGAAAATTTACAAGAACCCCCTAATTTCTTTTGGCAGGCCTTACTGAAATTCAGAATGTTTAATAAAGGTCCATGTACTCGTATCTTGTCTTGCAGGTACTGTACTGTATCCTCCTAGCATTTATGTATATGTTAGTTTCTTTGAGAATTGAAGTGCATTTTGGTAATTTATCTGTGATAAACTTCAGTTCTTGAAGAATTCTCTCTTTTCTATCTGGAAGTAGATATGCAGTACCTCTGTGACTCTTATTAAGAGCATCCGTTATTCTTAATATAACAGTTAGTCTCTTTGCATTTTAATAGTAACACATGTTTGATTGTGCAAATGACAAATTGTATTGTATAAAGGTATGTGACTTATGCCTCAAGTAGCAGGTTTCATCCTGTCAAACTGTTCTTGAAGAATAGAATTGTTGCGTGTTAATCCACGCTTTAATGTCAATTGTTTCTTTCACCAGAGAAAAAATGTTTTTACTGTACTTGTGTTAACATAAATATGCGAGGAGAGTTTCCCATATAGTCCGTAGAGAGACATGTTGTAAGGAGTTCAGTATAACACATCAACTTACATATCTGATTAAAATGTCATAAATATTTTTACAGGAGAAACACTCATAAGTTCCCTGTGGACACATCTGTGTCTGTGTGTGTTGTGAGGTACCCAGTAGAACTCCTCTGCATTATTTTGTCCTCTAAATTTATTGACTAGTTGTTGCCTGTGAGTTAAATTACTTCTCATTACATGGCTATGTGACTCAGCAGGTTATCAGGTCCAGAATCAGAGTTGACAAATTATCTAGAAAGGTGGAAGATTAATTACAATATCAGTTTCTTGAATCTTTACAAAAATTGTACAGATGAGGTAAATAAGATGTTAAATTTCAAATAAAAAGATGAAAAGTAGGTCCAGATATTGTAACTGGAACCACTTCATTGTTTTTCCGTTTTGTGGTGGTTTCACTTTGTTTATTCTGCACTTTCATTATTGGCTTCTTGGTGCTATGGGATCTAGTTATGTGTGTGTTCTATTGAATGGAGATGCAGGGTGAATGGGGCTGGAAAATTGAGATTACAAATACACATGGAGTATACTTTTAAGATTCACTATCTTTCGAAAGAATACTTTTACCTGAACCAGTTGCGTAGTGGGTGTATGGTACTGACTGTGCTGCTGGTATTGTAATTATTATGATATTGAAATGAAAGCTTTACCAAAACAAGTTGCGAATGCTTGAAAGATAGTGTGTAGTTACGTAATAAGTAATTTTTGTTGATACATAACATGCAGTAGAGACTGTTAACTTTGAAATATAACGTCCATTTCCTGGTGTTGCTTTTTAACTGGAATTAATAGACAACTGTGGTAATGTTCTTATTTTGTATGTATACAAATCTTTTTATGAAAGAACAATTATCTCTGCATTGAAATACATGGATATGCATATTCTGTGTTGTTATAAAATACGGAATGAGTGACTTGTTATTGTATTTAATGTAAGATGCTAAAAAATTGAAATGTTTTCATGTTATTCCTGTGGGAACTTTTCCCTGTTACTAAATGGAAAAAAGTTTATTAATAAGTGTTGTGAAATTCCATTGGAGTTTATTTCTCCTTTCAAAGAAGTCTGTAGGCATATCTGTCTCATTGGAAGTAAGTTATAGAATATATTCATCTACATTATATCATTTTAAATTTTGTAGTACACTTAGAATATGTTGCATTTTCTGTGGGTCACAGCTCCTTTACCAGAATTCTAAAGTAATGTAGTAGTGGTACAGTAATACTCATCCACTACAGTTAAATTGTAGTCCTTGATTTTCCTAGTTCTGTAATTGGTAAAGCTGATGGTGAGCAGAGACTAGATATCAAGTTACGGGGTATAATACGAGAATACATATTTGTCCTTCCTCTCCTTTTCTTCCCTCTCGCTCTCTCCCTCTCTTCCTCCCTTCCCCTCTCTCGCTCACTTTAATGGGTGCCTGTGCTGGCAGGTGATGTTGCATTTGCAGTTCCCAGACATGGCATTGTAAGACGTTTTATTGATTTGCTATGCGTCACTCTTCATGTTTGCCCGAAACGTGCATACACATTTTTTGCATTTCAAGGCACATTGTATTCATTGCCATCAACCATGGACCATATGATTTTCTAAGTTAAGCAAGAATGTTGAAGTTTTAATTCTGGGTTAGTCTGTTTCTTAATTGTTAGCATTTCACTAGAACCCTTTTGTTAAGTGTCATCATTTTACTTCTCAGTGTTCTCAAATATTGTTTACTAACTATAATAAATATTGAGATTGTAATTTCTGCTTTGCTGTTGTATCACTATAATTTTTTTGTGATACTGTTTTCTTTTTTACACTATTGTCATTTGATGAGGCTTCCACTAGAATTCAAAGCATTGCTTTTCTTTGTAATTTGCCGTATAGAAGGAGCCATGCTTATGTTTCACTGGGTGTTGTCAGTAAGTTGGAAGCAGTGTATACTTTGGCAAGTCATTGCTCTTATATGATGCACTGTAGAACATTCAGGTGGCTGGTTTTGCAGTGATCCTATTAATGTGGCATGTTGCCAGTGCATAGTGACTGTTCTGTGCTGTGCAGTATCATACTCATATGCCTTCCTTAAGGTTCTGAAGGAACTTCTTGCTGTGTAAGAGCAGATGTTGCAGTCTGTTAAGTACAGAAAATGTAACAGTTCCTAAAACTCTAATAAGGGGAAATCAAGGATTGAAGGTGTATCGTCTTTGTGTCTAGTCTTATTTTCATACACAAAAATATTTTTCAGAGTGTAAACAGGAGGCAATCTACTGACTCAGATTTCGTTTACTTCTTAATTGCTGTAGCATATGATCCCTCCTGTTACTTTGGACCAAATGTTTGTGAAGTGATGTATTTTTCACAATATTAGGTAGATCATAAAATTCTCATAATAAAAAGTTCGTGTTTGCTTTTACATGATGAGAAACTTCTTCAGAATCTTGATAAAAGTCTGTTGTGAGCTCTGTGTTCTTTGGAATGTACGTGTGAGAATTGTGAGCGTGTGTCTTGAGTGTGCATGTATCCGAAATATAAATGTAATGCAGAAGTGGAAATAATTTTATATCTATTTGTAAGAAAAATGTACAGACTTATAAACATACATTATAATTATAAACCCATGCTATAGATACTTAATATTATTGTTCATTCTTATGTCTTGTTTTTCTTCTCCATCTTGTTCCCATCCAAAGGTGTCAGTCATATAAATGCCAGTAACAAACTTGAATTTACATACTATAATTATAGTAGAATATTGATTCACTCAACTTTATTTTGATAAAAATTTTAGTGTTGCAAAATATTGATCTTGAAATAGAAGTTAAGTCCCGTAATAAGCCTTTTTAAAACCTATAACAAGGTAAATACTTTCAGTGTGATGAACAAAATAAAATATGCCATTGCAAACCTGTTGTAATGTTCGTTGATATTTGAAGCAGTTATTGTTCCATTCTCCATAACCAGTTATGCACTTGATGTTAGTTCTTTGACCACTCATTAAATCACAGTAATGCCACTGCTCATTGAATGTACTTGCCTATTTTCTCTCAGTATCTGTACACTGATCTGGTTGGGGTACTGTGCTACAAGCTGGAATGTTGTATGTTCTAGTCCTAATGAGGTGATTTTTTTTTTTTTTTATTTACCTAATCCTTCCAGCCGCACTGTGGCCCTGGGGTTGACTCAGTTTCGGACAGAAATGAGCGCCAGGAAACTTCCTGGGGGCTAAAGGGCAGTTAGTGCATAAGGCCAACAACCTCATCGCCAACTGTGAGCCGATTGTCTAGAGAAAATGTGGGAGCCTCGACATTTCAAACCCTGTGGGGCTTCATGTTCTGTTACAGGGATAGCTTTACCCTTTTCTCTACATTATCTGTACACTAACCTGAAAACTGACAGACTCATTAACTTGTTAAGTAATTCACTAATGGACTGCATTGACTGTCTTCTAGTCTTCTCTGCACTGCACTGAATTCTGACCCTTACATGGGCACCCATAGGCATGGTCATCCTTTTAGAACTTTTTAGATGGAGTCCTTGGGTGATGTTCACCTTTGGTGGTGGTTTCCAGAAGGTATGAAGAAGGGGTGTGGATATTTTGATCAAACAAAAGGCACATGCAGGTTAGGTGATGCAATTGCCCCCCTTCATACTCATCACCATGACATTGCATCTGTCTGAAAGAATTTACGATACTGGCATAAAGTTTGACATTGTCACATTGTGATATTCATGTGCACATTGTATATAACAGTAAGTGGAATCTAGGAACCTATTTCTTAGGCAGAGGGAGGTAATAAGGCAGCAGAGTTTCAGTATGAATGATACTATAACATACTTGTTGGTAACCGGTGACTCTGTAAACAACGGCCGTTGCTATGTGGCGGCCACAGCATACAGATATGCTGTGACGTCATGCAACAGCAGAAGAGGTCTTGCAAACAGCGTTCTCTGAAGGTTCATTACTGTGTTCACAAGAGCCCTCCACTGGTCCCTATCCTGAGCCAGATCAATCCAATCCATACCATATCATCTTATCTCACTAGGATACATTTTAATATTGTCCACCCACCTACACCTTGGTCTTCCCAGTATTCATTCATTCATTCATTCATTCATTATTAGAGGGGTCCCCCTTTAATTTCCACTGTCGCCATACCCTTCCAGTACTGGTGCTCGCTATCAGCCCCATTCTGCCAGCGAGGTCGGCCCTCTTCTGGCAGTGGTACCCGATACTTCCCCATCTACCAGAAGCATTGGAAACTACTTTGGCAGGAAACTTTTGCCTAATTTTGCTCAGAGGTCTCCTAGAGACATGAGGATCTTTTACGTGCCATAAATCTACGACACGGGACCCACGGCTTAAAGTCCCTCCCGGAGGACTTGTTCCCTGAATTTTTCCGCCCTTAAAATTTCCACGACCTCCACCGGGTTTGAACCCACGTACCTTGATTGGTCTTCCCAGTAGTCTCTTTCCTTCTGGCTTTCCCACCAATATCCTATATGCATTCCTCGCCTCCCCCATTCGTGCTACATGCCCTGCCAACCTCATCCTCGATTAGTGATATTGAACACAGTTCAAAAATAGAAATAGGTTGGTGGGGAAATAAATACTTTTACAGGCAGATCTCGTGTACTGGAGAGTACAAGAGATCTGGTTGTAAAAGTATTTATTGCTAGTAGCGAAAAAAGCATGGAGAGGGAGGCAAGGTTGGAGCATTCAAAATAGTTGCTAAGTTAGCATACGCTCTTACCGATTGTGCTCTCGGCCCTAGCGAAAATTTCAATTTAGTTTATGTAGGATGCGTAGAGATGGCAGCAGCATAGCACCGAGGTGTCATGGCGGCCATGTTGCCAACTAATAATATGGGAGTTTCAAGGGTTAAGGGCCTAGTCTTGTACGTCTTGTAGGAAATGTGCGTGTCTGAGGTATTTCGGAAGCATAAAATGTTGGTTATTGAGAAATATTGTTTGTATCGAATGATAGTCGCATGGATTTCATTATCGTCTTTTATCTACCTAGCGAATGCCAATGACAGTTTAAGAAAGGTATGGTCTTTATTGTATTGTATGGTATGGTATGGTATATATCCTTATTTGTAAATTATCTCATGTTCGGAAATTCGCTGAAAGTTTCATATTTTTGGCTCTCCGTTGACCGTAAAATTATCAAAACATAGCGCTTAAACTCATGTTTCAGGGCAATGAACGTGGGTCTCGTGCTAAATATCGCTTGGCCAGTCACATTCTTTGTACGAATCATCATCATCATCAGTAATCTGTCAAGACGACAGGTCCACAGTCTCTTCCAAAACAGTTCCTCCATTTAATGCGATCTAGAGCTTTCTCCTTCAAATGACAGTATCCTCTTCTGTCCCCAAGGTCATCCAGCATCTTCTTACGTCTTCTTCCTCGTCTTCTTGTCACTTCTATCCGCCCCTCTATCTTTCCTTCGATAACTTCTTTTAGAAGGCAGTTTCTGCGTAAAACATGACCAATCCAATTAGCCTTCCGTTTTCTTATTTCGTGTAGGATATTCCTCTGCTCACTGACTCTAATTAACACTTCTTCATTTCTCACATAATCGGTCCAACTGATCTTCTCCATCCTTCTCCAACACCACATTTCAAAACTTTCCAGATGTTTCTGATCTACTGCCCTAAGTGTCCATGTTTCAGCCCCATACAGAGCTATGCTCCAAATGTAGCATTTCACTAGTTTCTTCCTCAAATTTAAGTCCAATTTGCTGGTAAAAAGATTCTTCTTCTTGCTAAATGCAGCTTTTGCCATGGCAATCCTGGATTTAATTTCACAAGTACACCTTCCATCATCTGTTAACAAGCTACCCAAATATTTAAAACATTTCACATTCTCCACTTGTTTTTGGTCTATCTTTATTGTGACTGGGGTTGGTTGTCTCGAAATTTTCATTACTTTTGTTTTCTCCACATTCATTTCCATGCCATAGCACCTTCCAATTTCAATTAGTCTATCAATCATGCCCTGTAGCACAGTTTCTTCCTTAGCCATTAACACAAGGTCATCTGCATATTTCACAGTTTGAATAATTTGCCCTCCTACTTTGAAGTCACCGAGCCCATCCAGAGCTTCCTTGGTAAGGCATTCGCTGTACAAGTTGAACAGAATTGGTGATAAACAGCATCCTTGTCGAACTCCTCTTCCAATCTGCACACTTCCTGTCTCCCCCCTGTCCAGTCGTACTCTAACTTTCTGATCCATGTACAATTTGCTGATCAATCTTCTTTCACACCAATCAATATCTGTTTCTTTTAGGATCTGCATTAATTTGGTCCAGTTTACATGGTCAAATGCCTTCTGCCAGTCTATGAAGCAAACACACAGTTCTTCATCTATCTCCAAAGTTCGTTCCGCTATAATTCTCATCATCCCAATTGCATCCCTGGTTCCTTTTCCTCTTCTAAATCCAAACTGATCTTCTCCAAGTACATCCTCTATTTTCCTTTCAATTCTTCTTTTAAGTATCTTTGCTATTATCTTTGCTGTATGTGCAATAAGACTTATTGTGCGATGGTCGCTGCATTTTGTAGCTTTTGTCTTTTTCTTTAAGGCAATCATTGTAACTTCTGTAAAGTCCTTGGGCCACTCTCCACTTTCATATATGGTGTTCATTAGTTTTGTCAGTGTTTTCAAACCACCTTCTCCCAGTAACTTGAGCACATCTCCAGGTACATCATCATCTCCTGTAGCCTTTCCCTTCCTCATTTCCTTGATAGCTTTTTCCACCTCACTTTGTAAAATATATGGTCCTTTCTCGTCTGTATCTACTTCTTCTTCCGGTTCAACTTCTAAGGTTTCTGGCCGATTAGGTCGATCATATAGTTCTGAAATATAATTTTCCCAAATTTTCAGCACTTTCCTCTGATCTACTATTCTATTCCCCTGGGAGTCTTCGATGCCAACATTTTGAATCCCATGATTCTCTTTCCATCCTAGTTCTTTTGTCTTCATGTACATCAAATCATAACGTCCTATTCTTTGAAATTCCATAATCTCATTACATATCTTCTCAAGATATTCCTTTTTGGCCCTGTCCATGGCTCTTTTCAATTCATTCCTCAGTCTCCTGTATTTCCTCCTGCCTTCTTCATTGTTGACATTCTTCCATTTCCTTCGCTCCTCCATTTTACTCATCATCTCCTGTGTAACCCATGGTTTTCTTGCTATCTTCTCAACTTTACCAACCAAATCACTGATAGTATCTAACATGCATTGTTTTGTATTGTTCCACTGCGCTTCAGCATTTCTGTTTTCACCTTCAATTGCACCTAGTTTTTCTTCTAGGGTCTCTTGCACACTTTGTCTTTGAGCATATAACTTCTCCAAATCCCATCTTGGTCTGCGCTTTCGAAATCTTATAATTTTCTTCAACCTGGTTCGCAACTTGGCAACCAGTAAGTTGTGGTCAGAGTCAATATCTGCCCCAGGAAGCGTCTTCACATCCTTCACTCTATTTCTGAATCGATGTTTCACAAGGATGTAGTCCAGCTGATGCCTCCACCAATCCCCAGGTGCCTTCCATGTGTAAATTCTTCTCTTTGGCTTCTTGAACCAAGTGTTGGTGACAATCAGTCCATTTCTTTCACAAAAGTCAATAAGCATTTGACCCCTGTGATTCCGTCTTCCTAGTCTATGTGATCCAACAATATTCTGATATTATTAGTCATGATATTCGTACAATTCTGATATGGATTGTACGAATATCATGACTAATAAGTAACTGTTTGCTTGCATTTTTTTTTGCAGTATATGTACATAATTACAGCATCTGTATAGTCATAAGACTGAATAAAAGGCATAATATCACTGTATCTATCAGCATGATGCCCAATAAAAGTATCCATTTAACGCTAATAGATAGCAGTTTCCAAGAACTGATATAGAATAATTTTGCATCATGAAATAACTTTCATGGACACTGTTATGAATGGTATTATCGAATAGAACTACGCTGTGAATGTGGTTAGAACTTTAGCCTTGGAAGGAAGTAAAAGATCAAAATTTTTATTCAGAAGTGAGGTTAGAAAACATCCCCTTTTTCCTGGGAATGAATGCAGCACTGTTCGAACAGGCATGAAATGTATATGAAGATAATAAATTAATTGAAATACAGCATTACATAAAATTTGAAGAGAGCCTTCTGAATATGTTGGCATGTACATATGATGTTATTCTGAAGTGTAGCGGACACAAATTATGAACATAATAGTGGGATTTTTTCATTCAAAAAAACACTGGTAGATGGCAGTAGTAAGGGGTTACCGCTATATGTTTGTGTCCTGGGGCACTGTGGAGATGAAGTTAATGGTAGGGCTGACACAGAGGCAAAGCAATTAATCAAAGAATGTAGATACAGTCAATTACTGTTACCAGTGGCAGATCTTAAAACCCAGTGGAAAAAGAAAGACAAAGAAGAAGTCTATCAAAACACCAGAAGGGACAAAGGAGAAAGCTACTATGAAAGGTCTCCTTGGTTCTGCAAGATAAAAATGAACTGTGTGCCTTTGTGTATGAGAGCAGACCACTCCAGTCTTAAAGCAAGCCTAAACAGATTTAACACTGTGTCCATGGCTGAATGCGAATGTAGTGTTGGGCTGCAAACAGAGGAACATAATTCTCGGATTGTAAATGGTATGAGGACCAATAGGCAACAATGATTTACATTCTGTCTGAGCACAGCAAAAAAGAATATCAAAAGTTAGTTACAGAGCTCTTAAGGCTAGAAAAAAAAAAGATTTGTGCAAGGCATCTGTTACATCATAAAAACATTCCTATATTCATTTAAAATTAGATATGTAAGAAAAGAAAAAGAAGTAAATGTACAAAATAATAATAGTATACTCTCAAATTTACTCGTAAGTTAAGGTATATATTAAGAATTGCAGGGAGACTGCTGTAATAGAATAAGATGTTTACAAGAATGTGCTACAGAAGGCCAGATGGGTATCGCCTAGGACTTTTTGTATTTACAATTATTTTTCACAGACAGGAAGTACGTCTGTGTCTATGTCAATAATCATATGAGAGCAGGGCTGTCTTAAAGCAAGCTAAGTCGGTTAAGGCTAGGAAAGAAGATTTGTGCAAGACATCTGTACTACATAACATTCCTGAATTTATTAAAAAAGAAAAGGAAAAAAAGAAGTAAATTTACAAAATATTAATAGTATACTCTTAGAGTGGAGTTAAGAGATAAATTAAATCATTGGGCAACCACTGTGTTGAAATAAGATGTTTGTAAGACTTTGCTACAGAGGGCTGGTTGGGAATTGCCTGGGCGTTTTTTGTATATACATTTATTTTTTCAAAATGAAATCAGAATGTGTCCATAGTAGAAAATATGCATAGGGCAGTGTGTTTCACACTAATATATGGTGTAAATATTTATGCCTTCTCCTGTTTGTATTAACAAGATGATGTAACTCGTTTTAGCTGAATACATCTTATAATCCAGGATGTAGTGATGCAGATTGCAGCTCTTTTAAAGTAGTGTATGTGGAAGCAGAAGGACTGAATGACACCTTGCATTACTTGTGGGACTTCACACAAAAGCCGTCCATTTTTATGGCAGCTACTCCCGTCAAATCACAGCTGAACATTTCATGGGATCACTTTAAAGGGAACAATAACAAGTCCATTACATTTAATGAAGAGCCTATATACAGCTTTGGTATTGTATTGGACAAGGTAAGCTGAAGTCATTCTTTAATATTCTGAGCACTGTTGTCATATTTCTGGTGCTGTGTGCAACACAAGTTGCTGTTTTGTGACCATCAGCTGTTGTAGTAAGGCATCTTGTTATATATTAGGTTTCAGGATTTTTTTAGTTGTGTTTGCCAACTCGGGGCTGCCTCTTAAAATTGCACAGCTTGACCATCTGTATGCAAACAACTCCAAAACCCACTGAACGAATTTTTATGACAAGATATTAGGAGATTCACAAAAATTGGGTAACACCAATTTTGATTAGAGCTAGACAAGAGTAACAGACACTTTATGTGATCCTGGAAAGGCCTAGCTTGCTTAGATTTTGAACTTTTGAAGTAAAATGAAGCCATTGGTGAAGCCATTTCTTTAGGACATCCAATTAAATTATTTTATATTCATCTGTCTTATAGATAAATAATTTAATTGTGTTGCTATGCAGAAGCAGCTGTTAATGACCAGTGCCCATCTAGAGTTGCTGTTGATGTTGAAGACTTAAGAAAGTTGGAGCTTTATCTTCACTTTTTCTGTATCCCTTCATGGCAGTTTTTTCCCCACCTTTTACATGTGTTGGACATTGTACAGGACATAGAGTCTCCATCCCTAGTTATAAGTAACTGTATGATCATTTGAAAGTTCTGGACAGTTGTGTGTTATTTATTTTAAAATTATCACCTTGGACATTGCTCATTGTCTTAGGTGTATTTAAATGATACATCACATTTCAGGAACTGGATCTGCTTCTGTCATAACTTGTAAGAGGGTAGAGCAGATTAGCTCTTGTCTAATGGACCCAATTGATTATGATTCTTTCCTGTCTTGCACCTTATGACAGAAGCAGATCCAGCATCTGAAGCATCAAATAATTTAAATGTAGCTAAGATGATGGATAGTCTCCAACATAGTAATTTTATAATAAATAATTTTTCTAAGTTTTTGTAGATTATAATCTATATAATTATTTTCTCTCAGCTCTGGGAATACAATGACATAAATGACACTGGTTTAATGGACTTGAAAAGTAGAGACAGCAGATATGTCAGAGCACTTGACATGGAGAACTTTAATTGGACTCTCACAAGTTTTGGGAATGAGAGTGTGGAGAATGTTGATGTGGTGATGGAGGCCTCTTCGTACACTCCGAAGGATTCGACTGCTGTCATTAGTGGAAGCATCAGATTAGTGGTATATTAATATAAATAAATTATTTGATGATTCTCTAAATATCAGTGGCAATAGTATTATAGACTAGCATCCTGTTGCACTTTTCACTTAGTGTCAGTTTTTTAGTCTCACATGCAACATTGTGTTCCATAAAATTTATTAAAAGATATTCACTTTAAAAGTTTTTCACTACATGTTTCAACCAATATTGTCATCATCAGGTGTTAAAATTATTGGACAAGGAAACTGCTGTCTTCTGTTTTGTTGCTTCCATTGTTAATATACAGTCCCCTCAAAGCACGTGTTTTAGTTGTTGGGCTGTATTCTCTCCTGTTGTGTCTTGTGCTGCATGTCTTGTTTTCAAATGCGCACGCAGCACAAAACACAACAGAAAGGAATACAACCTACCAACTTCACCATCTCAGCGTTATGAAGTGTTTCTTTGTTTCACAAAGGGAAACATATTGCACAAATGTTTATATGTGTGTATTTTTCATTTCATCTCTCTTTTTCTGATATTTCCACTTTGTGGGATATCTAGCAACCAAGCCCCTCCATTTGTCTCCATTTTTCCAAAGCTCCTCCTCATCACATCTTTCCATACACATTTTCATTTATTTAACAGCTGCTGTTGGCTATCGGAAACTAAATTGAAGTATTGTACATTACTTGTTTTGATAACTGCAACATTTTTTCTGTAACATCCACAAAATGTTTTGGCAAAATCTTTATTGATGATTGCTAATAGTTTCATCTAGGTTGAAAGAACAGAATTCCATTTGAATCAGATTGCAATATAGTGATAGCATCAAATTAAGTAAGGTATATGATGTTTTATCAACACATGCTTCTATCAGAATGTTGTGTTTGCAGGGATAGAAATACATAAATACTGACATAAATAGAAAGTACTAAGTGTTCAACTGGCCAGTCAGGTGTAGAGGTTAGTGCAGTTGATGAAGCTTCATTAAATAAACCAATAGCTAACAGTGAAGTGACTTGTTATGCATTATATATCTGGGTCTCTTTTCTGTCAGGGGAAGAAATTTTCCTGTTAGTGACCACATCCAGACCAGCACTGGTGTCCATTCAGTCTTGTATCCAATGTTACTTCAGGATAAGGTCCAGAGAAGGACTTCTCTGAGCACAGTATTGAGCACTGAGTGCATGAAAAGTGGGGAATTCCCTGACTAGCCAAGCAACTGCCCTCTGCGCAGTTAGATAGGTTATGTGACTTAACTTTACAGCTGAGTGCGTTTGGCTTTCGTGATCATTATGGAGAGCTGCCTCGTCTCTTGCATTCAGCAAACTGCACTCAAGTGGAACTTGTCCTTGACAAGCTGAAAACGAACTCCAGCTTCTCCAGTTCTCGATTTGCTGTGGGGGTTCTAATTGCAAGCAGTGACAAGGCTAATACTACAGCTTCCATCATATCAAGAAAAAGCTTGGATGATGAACATAGCCCAGGAGTTTTTACGGTAAGAATGTTTTTAGCTTTTTAAGATTAGATGTTGAAGTAGAGATTGATGATGTAGAAGGGATTAATTTGACGTGAGGCACCATTATATGTTGTTACTATTATTTTATTATTGCTAGTGGGGTGGGACCAAGTCCCTTGTACTGCGGCCACTTCTGGCCTATTGTGCCAGCCCCAGATGATAGGTGAGGGTGATTGTGGAGCAGTTGGTGGAATGAAGATTGGCAGGGGAAACCAAAGTACTCGGAGAAAACCTGCCCCAGTACCACTTTGTCCACCACAAATTCCACTTGACCAGACCCGGAATCGAACCTGGGCCTCCGCAGTGAGAAGCCAGCGACTAACCGCTTGAGCTATGGCGTGGCCCTACCATTATATGTTACCCTGGTTTCTCTCATTCTTCTTAGGTCCATTTGCATCAATGGTTTGGTGCAGGTAGTGTGTTTAACTTGCTTAACTCTCTCATTCTTTTTAACAGCTTTGTCCTGATTGTGTGAATTTGTATGAAATACAGTGTTATACTTTTTGATTGCCACATGTTTGTTGTATATTGGTTCCTTAAAGTGCCTTAAGTTCAAACCTGGAATATCTGAATAACAAAGATCTATAGAATCAGTTTTCTTTTAACAGTTAGAAGGATTATATTTATGTTAGAAAGTGCACATTTATGACAGGTTTTTTGTAAGATTGATAACACACACATTACCTAAACCCTCATCATACCCTGGATTTAATTTGGTGAATATTTTCCATAAAATTACCACTGTGGTTGGGGTAGTTGCTCTAGTCCTCACATTCATTCATTCATTCATTTATTTTTCGTTCCATGGATCCACAATACAAGTGAGATATAGGACATGTCCATACAGTGATTATTCTTAAAATTAATAGAGCAAGAGCTAAGTACATAAATAAAAAGGTATAAAAATACAAAAATTGAAACAAAACATGTAGGATCAAGTAGATTCCAGTGATATAAGTTAATTTAATAAAACATGCAGTTTAAATTTAAACAATGTCAGTTTGAACATATCACAGAAATTGCTTAAATGACTAGACTAGAATAATAGAATAATGACTAGAATAATACTAATAAAAGACTGGATGATCAACAGGTGATTCTAGTGAATGCATAATCATTAACTTATAATGACTTATATTGGAAATATTCTTCCACAGAATAAAAATGATGAAGATAAAGAAAACGCTTTAAACAAATTTTGAACTTCTTAGGGTTGAGTGACTCTTCTTTTATATAAGAAGGAAGATTATTATAAATTTTTATGCCCATATAATACACTCCCTTTTGATATACCGTAAAATTTGCTATGGGTTGATAGAAATTTGTAATATGTCTTGTATTTATATTATGATTTAGTGAATTTGGAATAAAGAGACTTTTATTATTAACCACAAAGAGCATGAGTGAAAAAATATACTGTGAAGCCAAAGGCAAAATTTCCAATTTCCGAAAGAGATCTCTACATGAAACTCTACTATTACAGCCGATCATAATTCTAATTATCTTCTTCTGCATTCTAAATACTTTTATACTATGAGGCGAGACTCCCCAAAAGCAAAGACCATAGTTCATAACAGAGCCAAAATAAGAGTAGTAAATTGTTTTCAAAGTTTTTAGAGGCAAGTATGGTTTAATACTTCTCATCATATAACATGCTGAGGTAAGTTTTGGGATTATACATTCCACATGTGAACTCCAGTTGAGTGTATCCATTATGTTTATACCAAGAAACTTTATATTTGACACAGTGGTTACTGGACGATTGTTACAAACAATATCTACGTCGGTTGTGAGTTTATTTTTGGTTTTAAACTGCATACTATGAGTTTTATTAATATTTATTGAAAGCAAATTTGTCCTAAACCACTTATATAAATGATTAAAAACATTATTCATATTAATATGGAGATTTTCTGAATTTGAACCTTTAATTAATACGCTTGTATCGTCGGCAAACAAAATGGATATAGCATTGTTAATTACGNTGATCGTACAAGACCTTTTCAATTACTTTTGAAAATGAGCTTAAAATAGATATAGGTCTGTAGTTGGAAATAGTAGATTTATTTCCCTTCTTAAAAAGGGGCTTGACAACTGCATATTTCAAGCGATCCGGAAAGATTCCTAAAGATATCGATTTATTACAAATATGGGTTAGGGGCGAACTAATAAAAGGTGAACTAATTTTTAATAATTTGGTTGATATTTCATCGTATCCAAACGAATTTTTAGTCTTAAGAGATTTTATTACCTTTTCAACGTCTTTGGAGGATAAGAACTTTAGGTTAATGTTTGGGAAGGGAGTCTTAAAAGACTGCAATAAATAATGCAAGGGAGTAATGTCATCTAATTTCTGAAATTTAGGGTCATTATGATCAATATTAATATTTGTAGCTATGGATAGAAAATATTTATTAAATTCATTGGCTATCACATGTTGGTTGGTGATTGAGATCCCATCAATATTTAAAGTTATAGCCTTATCGGCACTGCTAGTTCTATTTGTTTCAAGTTTAATTATATCCCATATAGTTTTAGTCTTATTCAGGGATTTATTGATTTTATAAGCGTAGTTTAGCTTTTTTGATTCACATACACATGAGAATATCTTAAATAAACAGCCATACCACATAAGCCATGCAATATCTTAGAGAAAGGGGCAGGAACAAAGCAGTGGGAGTAAGGTCAGGGGCCACAGCAGCAGAGCTATGAAGCCAAGCTTGTTATTTATTGTTATCACATGTTATTTGAACAGGAAAAGTGCACAGAAACTAGATGCTCTGCTTACACTATACCATCTCTTATTAACTGAATGATGTGTCTGAGTGGTTATCACTGCTGCTCTGTGTTTTGGAGGCTGGCTCTCCTAAGGCTTATCCTCTGGTTTTCCTTAGTGTTTTCATGAAGGTACTTGAATAGCATTTTAGGTCATGATTACTTCCATCCACACACTTTCATAGTTATACCAGTCATCCTTCCCATTATGCCAGGATAGTTGAGTGGGTGTAGTGATGGGCTATGGGCTTGATTCCTAGCAGTGGAAAGAGAATTTTCTCTACTCCACAGTGTCCAGATGGACTCTGAGGTACACTGAGCCACCTATCCAATGTGCACTGGGGGCACATTCTGTGGGAGTAAAGCAGTGGAAGGTGAAGTTGACCATTGACCTCCACCTAGTATGAAGGTTACAAATGGTGGAGCTATATACGAGGAGTGTTCCATATATATAATGCCTCCTATTTTTTCAATGAAAACTACAACAGATACAGAAAGCATAATAACACAGTTAAATAGAGCAAGATTTTAGCTACTTACAGTTATTTTTCCACATAATCACCACCATTCATTATGCACTTTTGCCAGCGATGAACAAGAGCCTGTATGCTATGCCCGTAAAAGTCTGCACCAGCAGAGGCTAGCCACTTTCTTACAGCTGCAATGGCAGTATCGTTGTCTGGAAAATGTTGCCCACGTAGTCCATCTTTCACAGGCCCAAAGAGATGGAAGTCTGAAGGTGGTAAATCGCGGCTATAAGGTGGATGTGCTAGGACAGTCCAGTGAAACTTTGCAATGTACATGGTGGTCACCAACCTGGTATGGGGTCTAGCGTTATTGTGTTGCAAGCAAAAGGTTGTCCGCTTCTCTGGCGTGACTCTGGAAATGCGGGCTTTCAGCTTAGTCAGCGTTGTCTTGTAGCGTTCAGAATTGAAAGTCTCACCAGGCTCCAGGAAATCGAACAAAATGACACCCCGCCTATCCCAAAAGACCGTGCACATCACTTTCTCTGCCGATGGCTGTGTCTTGAACTTCTTTTTTCTTGGGGAATCCGGATGTCGCCATTGCATCCACTGTCTTTTGGATTCCAGCATGTGGTGACACCACATCTCATCTCTGGTGATGATGCTGTCCAGAAACTTGTCACCTTCAGCCTCAAACTGGTGCAGCAGGTCCTGACAGACTTCCATTTGATGAGTTTTGTGGTCCTGTGTAAGCATCTGCAGGACCCACCTGGAACAAACTTTGCAATAATCCAGCTTCCCCAACATCGTTTCCAGTGCATTACAGCCGATATTAAGCCATGCACACAGTTCCCTGGTCGTTATCCACCGATCTGTACAGATGAGCTGATCAAGGAACTGTTTATTGTGAGGAGTGGCAGCTGAGCAGGGACGCCCAGGGCATGGCTTGTCGTGCACTTCACTTTTGCCACTGTTGAAACACACTACCCACCACCTCACTATGCCGACATCCACTGTATCATCTCCATACACCTTTAGCAAGCGTCAATGGATGTCAATGGGTGCAATTTGTTTGGCAGTGAGAAATTCAGTAACATCTCTGTTTCATATGCACTTCTATGTCAGAAGCCATTTTGATAGACTGCTCTGCTGTCGCTATCTTTTGCACGACAAACAAACTAACAGTACATTGGCGGGAAGGTTCAACCTTTACTGCAACACCACCGACACCCAGCTCAGATGTTGCCTATTAACACAAAAAAATAGGAGGCAATATATACAGAACGCCCTTCGTATATGGTGTGTTGCTTAATTATTTAATCACAGGGACAGCTTGACTTTTACCGTCCTTCCCATTTGACACTCTGCAAGGTATGATGTTGAGATGTAATTGTTAAATGAAGTAAGAAACAAAGAAGAGCTCCAAATATTAAGCCACTAATGTTGCTACAGTTTAACAAACGATCTGCCTGTCTGTTTTGAGGTCATTATGATCTCATCCTATTATTTGTAAAAGTATTCTCATTCAGGTACTGGGGTTGTGTGTTTGTAATGGATGATGTGTTTGCTCATTTCTGTAGTCTTTGTATGTTAGCTCACATATTTGTATTTTGTCTCTTATATCCAAGTTTCATTTTTTTTTGTATATGAAAGATTAATTGCAACTGTAAGGAGTTAATAATAATATTCATTTATTGCAAATGGCAGAAGGTTTACATATCACTTAGTGTATTTTCATTTTTTAGCTTGTGGATCTTCAGACACCAATGGCTGAGTCAGGGAGGGGTGGCTATTTGCAGTGGAGGCCAGTGGCTTATGTTGCCAAGGAGAGAAATGTTGCAAATTCCACTGAAACAAACTCATATGGAGTGACAGATGTTAAAGATCATACTGCATACCTGAATCATACACTTCTGTATGCCTACTACAGCTCTAATTTGGACAGCCTCCTAGTGCAATCTACTGCAGTATCATTTGGCCTTAAAGAAGATGGCTTCTATAAGAAAACAAATTACACTTCTTGGTAAGTGATATGCTTGGAATATTTAGTCACTCTCAGAGCTTGTATTGTTTATCAGTGAACACATACATGCATGTCTGGTCTAGAAATCCAAAATTATCGGCTGTGGGGATTTGTTGCACTGACCACGTGACAACCTCTATCCACTAAAGTTGGCACTAACTTCACCGACAAGCGGCGGTCACTCGGTTGGTATAGTTCACTTGTGGGCTAAAACCACAAAGATATAGTTATACATACATGCATGAACCATAGTGCTTAGGTGCATCCTTGGTACATGTTGCAGTGTCTGTGATGAACAGATAGTATGTTTGTACCTTGTTTCTGTCAGTGTTGTCAAGTATGGAATTGAAGAGTTCTGCTTGTAATGTAATGTTATGTAGGCTGTTGAGAGTCAACTGATGTATTGGAGGAACATGTCAGCTCCATAATCAGGGTTCTGGGAATCCGCAATTGGACTCAAACAGGCAAAGGGATTTATATCAGGACCCTTTGCCAGAAGAACGAAGGACCTGTTGTAATTAAACAGAGATGAATTAAGATGGGCATTAGGATGATTTAGCAGACACTGCCACCTAAAAGGACACCTTTTCAAATTGGGACTGACAGACAACCCAGCCTGTGAAATTTGCCTGCAAGAAGACAAATCAGCCACACATATCCTATGTGATTGTGAGGCCATAGCTTAAGATTTCGTCACCTGGGTCAGTTCTTCATGGAACCAGGTGACTTTTATGACGCCCCCATAAATAAAATCCTACATTCCATTGGAAGGGTAGGATCAATAAAAGGTTAATCCAAGGGGGAAGCACAATAAATCATTGAAGGTCGCAGTGGGAGGACCAGATTTTATGGCCCACCCCATACACACATACATACATACTTATATACATGAGGGTTCAAAAGGAAACCAAGCAGGAAACCAGCGTGAAACAGGCTGCAACAGACTACATTTCGATATATCCCAGAAGATGGAATCATTTACTGTTAATGGCAACAGTTCTGCTACTGCGTGCATGTCAGAGACAGCTCACAAGATCATAGCTGTTAATGGAAATGTATTTGGTGTTTGAAGAAAGAGGAAGTGGTGGAAAGTGGGAGAAAACGACAAATTGTCAATGAATAATCCGTCGAGTGTAATAACAATGTTTTTAGGTCACTTATTTATTTCACTCGCCTTACATGTTTCGGTTCAAAAGAAACCATCATCAGAGGCACGTTACAAACACATGAAACCACTGGCGTTGTATTGTACACAGTATGTAAGCTGCGTGATCTGCTACAGATGTCGGAGTGTAAAAGCACAACACTTTCTAGTAACGTTGAATGCACGTACAACTCTTGCATTCCATCCGAAGAATGCCCTCAAATTGAGCCGTCAATGTTAAAATATTTAAAAGCTTAAAACATTTGAAATAAAATGTTTGGCTCCTTCTTGTTGATTCGTCCCGGTGATGGGAATCGTCAACTTGAGGTTGTGTGTTGTGTTGTG